AGCCAAGATCGCTTCCCCAGGTCTGAATTACTGCAGCCCAAAGCTGTCACATTTGTTCTCTGGAGACTTCCGCAGTGGGCAATCAGTGATGCCACTGAAGAAGTTCTCCTGGCTGATCAAGGACACACCAGTCCCATCCAAACAAGAGAGCGGCAATGCTCAGCTAGAAATTGTGCCCACGTGGGGTTGGAGAACAGTCCAGGCTCCTGCTCTGCTGTCAGCCACTCACTGCAGATTTTACAGGAGAAGAGCACATGCGGTGCAGAAGAAGGGAGGATTGCTTTATTCTACTGGAGAACAGATGTAAGCGTTCTGTTGAAACGGAAAAAGAAGTTTACCTTAAGAGGTTTGGAGCCCACACAATGGCTAAGTTCTTCGCATGCATATTTGTGGTGGAGCAGTGCCCAGCCAGACAGGCCAAGTGTCTCATCAGATACGCCAGGGTCCTGGGAAACAAGAGCGGCAAATGTTCAGCACCAGGCAGCATGCCGTGCTGCGACTCACAAAGCAAACCTCACTTCGTGCTAGTTGCTATTATTGCTACTGTCACTGAAGATGAAGTAGATCCCAACTTGACCAAGTGCCACGCTGCAGCACCCAGCACCAGCACAGCCGCAGCCATCAGCTGCACCAAGCGTGTCCCTGTGCCCAGGAACTCACCCCACAAATTAACCCCGTGTAGCCTTCAACCACTTCAGCACACCCAGGCATCCTGTTGCTCACGTGAGACAAAGCCTGGAATCACACCATTGCCCTCTGAAGTGCAGCAGGGCTGAGCTCTGCAGGCTGAGGGCAGCACTGACCTGTAGTGAGGAGCGGGCAGCTGCTGGATGGCGTCCCGCATTCTGACCAGCCGCTCCTCCTCCGTAGTGGCACCAACAGCATCCTGGAAAAGGGCAGAAAGGGATTGAGACACAAATCAGGCGAGATACCTGCCACAGGGTCGGGAACCATGGGCACAGCGCGCTGCTGGTCAGCACTGAGAAAGATTTTAGGCCTCCCCAGAGGCATCTGGCGAACATAGCAGCACGCAGCTGGTGCCACCACGGCCAAGGAGTCCAAGCACCGGGCCGGTTTACAGCCTGGTTGGGCAGCTCAGCTCCTCGTACGGGGCGTTCATCTCCAAGTACCCTTGGCTATTAATCCCCTTCCCGTTCCAGAAATAGTTGGGGAATAGCAAAAAACAAACAAACAAACAACACAGGAATTCTCGCAAGCATTATGAATATGGAAATTACCACCTCCAGGGGCCACCAGAAGTGGCATCAGCACGATGCAGGATGTGGCAAAGACATGCGAGTAAACCCCGTGGGGCTAACAGAAGAAGGGCCTCAGAGCTGGGGCACTGCTGCAGCCATCTCCCAAGAGGCCCAGGGAAGAGGGAAAGGAAAGGCGTTGCCTTGTGCTTACCGAGAACTTGTCGTACAGCTGGTCGGTCAGCAGGGGGGTCGGGAGCTCCCTGAAGTACATTTTGCAGAGGGAGCTCGCGCTGTGAACGTCGCGGACGGTTAGCTCAGGAACCTGCTCAGACTCAAATTCCTGGCTGCAGAGAAGGACACGAAAACGGTTGAGAAAGAGGAAAGCAAGTCAAAAGCCACACCCAATGCAATCAAGAGTTGGAAGGGCTTCCTGATGTACAGGAGAACACAAACACTCGGCCACCAGCACCACGTCAGCCGTGCTGGATGGGATGTTCCCAAAGGAGACCTTCTCTTGGTGCTAAGGCATTGCCCGCAGGCCTCTGAACGCCCGCAACAGGGCACGTGCCCCTGCTGGCAGCTGTGTCTGTCAGTCGCAGCACTCTTGCTGCAGTCTCTGGACGCTGGACGCAACGCCGGACAGGGGGTATATCCCCTGCACCACGCCATGCTGCTCGATGAACTCGGCGCAGCTCTGGAGGACCTGGGGGACTAAAGAACACGTGCCGGCGGTTACTGGAGCTCCTTAGTCAAGTCCTGGCTCAGGCTGCGCTCCCGTCACATCCCATCCACTAAGCCCAGCCAGGCTACTGCTTAGTTCTTCCTTGAAGGGGACAGCTGTCAGAGACACCTCTGCAGGAGCTGGTGAGGAAACTGGACAGAGATGTGTTCTTTGCGTTCAAGAAATGCCAGGACCTAGGAATCAGCCTGGAGAAAGTAATTCCGGGGAAGCCACAGACATTGCAAGTCCCATCACAGCTCCCACGGGAATGGAGGTGGAAAATCTCACGCCCAGGAGGAGCTGGAAACTGATGCAGGACACTCTCTTTGGCCAAAAAGGCTTCCTTTCTTTTCAGGCTACCATGGGATTGGCTTACAGGCTTTGCTTTAAGCAAATACAAGTGTGCTTGTCCCTTAGGAGCATTTACCTGGCAGCCATCACCTACTCACTTTATCTTTCAGTCGTCAACTCCCAGTCCCTGTTTCTCCACTGGTATCAACCGGCCCCTTGCTAGATACCATCTCCCTTTCATCTTTAGGTTGCCAAACAGGGAAGCTCTCAGGAATGGGCTGTCCCTTACCATCACGACCAGAGTGGAGAAGATGCTCTCCCAGGTCACGGCCGAACACCCTTTCCTTCTCCACCTCCCGCTCTTTCGGTTGCTTTGGGCGGGCCTTCACCACGGAACGAAGGAAGGTGAGGAGCTTGCCGCGCTTCTTTGGCACTGCACAACAAAAGGAAGAAACCAGTTCATTTTAGGCTTGGCTCCGTTGGACAAGGCCGAGCACAACACATTCTGCAGAGCACGTCAAAACGGGAAGAACGAGATGAGCAAGTGCGTACAAAAATGGATTTTCCCCAACCCTGGAGGAGTCCTAGGCCAGACTGGATGGGGCCCTGGGCAGCCTGGTCCAGTCCCACATTAAATGTGGATGCTGGCAGCCCATCCTGAGGCGGGGGCTTGGAGCTTGATGATCCTTGAGCTCCCTTCCATCCCAAGCAAGGATTCTACGAGGATTCTAGGATATTCCCAAATCCAGTCATAAAGAACACAGGAGGATTGGGCAAATCTCTGCGCGTTCCCATGGAGCTTAATGCACTCCTCTCGCTTAGCTTGCCCAACCTGGGGATTAAGGATCCTCTCGAAAAGCCACGTTCTGATCAAGCGTGTCACTAGCACAACCAGACCTCTATCTGTCCACCAGGGACGCTGGCTGTTCTCAGCCTCGTACTGACTTGCAGGAGAACTGCCTTTGCCTTCCCTCATTCTCACTGCCTACAAAACAACAGCCATACGCCCTGTGCTATGCATGAAGGATCATCAGCACAGAGGATAAGGTGGGAAGGATAAGGGAGGTATTAACCATGGAACACACCCAAAAAAGACTCCATTTTGCTTCTCTGCACCATCAAATGTATCATCGTACCTGGCTTTGGCACTGAATTGATGAGACTCTCCGGGATTTTTCCGTTAATGAGCTCCACACACTCACCGGGGAAAAATCCAACCTGTAACAAGAAGAAGAAGAGAGGTGCGATACTGAAGGCAGCGTTTCTCAGGCCTGAACTGTTCAAACATATCATTTTCCTCATAACGTGCCTGCCGGATGCTCCGTAAGACAATCCAACAAAAAAATGTTCTGCTTAAAATTAATAATTATTCAAAACTGGCAGCCAATTATCCATGTAACTGCATATGGAGCAGGGAAAGGACAAGTATGCTATGCGCCCCTAAATCTCAAGCGTGCCCGAAGGGAAAGACTTCATACAGAAGCTATATATTATGATAGATTGATGCAGCTAGATCTGAGTTAGCACAGCCTATGAACTTTCTGCTTGCTGACTGAGATGCAGCTGCCATCCCCAGCTCTGAGCTACCCAGCGTTCTGCAGCCAGCAGCAGCAGCAAGCACGCAGAGGCTCTGTTACCCTGCCTCATCTCAGCTGACAGGCAGCGACTTCCTAAAAGACACTGACTTCACCTTCTGCATGGCTGCAAGCACAAGAGCTCAGAGACACTGAAACACGTCTCCTAGCTGCTGCATTTCCAAAGGTGCGGTTCAGTGGCCGTGACCTGATGCATGTTGTGAGGGCTCTTCTTTCTAAGTTAATTGAGGAGGCAGTTTCCTACAAAGACCAACTTTCAGCTCTGGCCTAAGCCCACAGCAAAAGG